GTCTTGCCCGTCAGCGCGGCGAATGCAGCGTCTATTTTCTCTGCGGTATCGCTTATGTTGAAAGTGTCGTCGTCCGCGTTCTCGCCATCGCGCAACTGCGCCAAGCGCCGCAAAATCTGCTCATCCGTTATGAAGAGCTTTCTGCCACCTTTCACCTCGTTCACTACTAGGTTAGCCGGCTTCACGTCATAAGTTACTGTACCCACATTGTTTCGCCGCACTTCGGTCGCAACTCTGGCTTTCAGATCGCTGAACAACTGGGCAGTGTCGCCAGACTCCTTTTCTATCGACCATTCGTTTGTGGTCGACTGCTCCGAAGCAACGCCCGACATGAGCGAAATCAGGAAGTCTAGCCCATTCCACTCAAACGACTCGAACAACGCGGCCTGTGATAAAAGCAGGATAGCTATCATCAGCGCCGCGCCCGCGATGAACTCGCGATCCCGCGCACTAAATCGAGCGATGTCAGCCTCTAGTCGCATAGAGTCTGCTGCAGACTGCTCGTTAAAGTAGTCAGCCAAGCGCAGTACCAGCTTGCGCGTAGCGAGTTGACGTTGCGCTTCGCCGTTCGCGATGCTCGACATCGACCATGACATGCTGCGGTTTGCGCTCATGCGACAGTCGCTTTCCAGTTTGGCGTCGCGCAGCACGTCGTAACGCAGTAAGCATCCAGCGAGCGCTTCGGCCAGCAACGTGAGTGCGGATTGGTAGCACTGTAAGTGCTTAAGCGCGTATGCTTGCTCCGCCTTTTCTTCGTAGCCGTACGGGTGCTTTGCGTTGTACAACGGACGAATACACTGCTTAATGTGATTGCACAACTCGTGGTTGTAGTCTACGTTGTAGCAGTAGAACAGAATAGGACCAGCCGCCACGATGAAGCGCATTAGATTCAAGAAGATTAAGATCATGCCGACGGGCCGTCCAGACTGCGAACCCAGCTGCAGCGCGGGCGAGTTGTAGAGCGCAACGGATTTTGCGAAGCGCAGTATGTCCCGCAAGTGATCTACGGCGGCCGGCAAATCGGCGTCCGCGTAGTCGAGCAACTTTAGCTGCAGCACGCGTTTGTGCATCGAGCGCAGGTTTACGTCGCCCAAGAGACTGTGGAGCTCTCCTGCGTCTTGCGCTACGTGGCTGCGATAGTTTCGCAGCACGTGCGATCTGCAAGAGTTCGCCAGCGTCACGTAGCGCTTTTTGCTCAGCAGGTGCAGAACGCTAATCACCGAGTAGGCCCACCCGAGCGAGACGCTGCGCGGAGCGCGCTCGCCGGGACTGAAGAAACAGTTGTCGAGAAACGGGCGCTTCGTTTGGAGCAGCAGCGAGAGCAGGTGCGCGTCAGGCAGACATCGCATTAGCTGGTACAGCTGTTTGGGATCGCACCGCTGCAGGAACAAGGCAGTGTCGAGGCACAGAGTTTGGAGCGTGGAGGCTTCACCCAGTTGTATGCTCTCCGACGGCGCTCCTTCCACGTAAGTGTCGACCGTGTCGAGAACGAACTGCAGGAGCGACGCGAGATCCGTGGGAGAAAAAGTGCAGCTCAGGTTCGTCTCGTAGCTGAGCACATTATCGAATCGGTAGCACTTCGTGTGGCCCTCTTCGAGCGCACTGCTGGTGTCGAAAAGCAAACCAAAGTGCGAGAACAGAAGCTTTTGCAAGTCTTCATAGGTCTCTTCGCGGTTGGTGCGCGCCTTGGGCAGTCTGATGCGAATGTAGTCGGCGTAGAACTTTTGTTGGAACTTTTCTTTACCGAGAAACAGGTTGTGCAGGTTGAGCAGGACGATGGACCGAAGTGGCAGCGCGTTCTGCAGAGAGTATGTGGGCGCTGCGGAGTCGGATGCAGAGTTTATTTGCACGAGCCCGTCTACGTCTAGCAAATACTGCGCGACCTCGGTCGGCAAGCTCTTGATCATGTCGGGGTACAAGTACAACCGTTCTCGCTCAGTGTCTTGGATTCGGAACTCGTGCTGCAGCAAGTCGTTCACAGCGCAGTCGTAGATCTTACAGAACAGCAAGAACAGTATGTAAGAAAGCGCGTAGCGCTCGATAACGGCGTCGTCGACTCGCAGGTAAATATCGTAGACGCAGCCGAAACACTCGTCGAGCTCGTACGCTGTGAGCAATCTCTGGAACTCTAGTACGTCAGCTGGCCTGCGCAAAGTTGTGTTCAAGTCCTCCAAAAAGACATCGACCAGCTTCGTGGTGTACCTCAAAAGCACTTGGTCGCGCGGCGCGCCGGTCAAATTTTTCAGAAGCACGTCGGTCAATATTGGGCTCGCGGTGTGCGTTTGCGCGGGGCAAAAGTAGCGAAGCAGCTGCTGGCTCAGAAAAGATTTGTCGCCGAAGTAGCGATACTCTACACTTGACTGGAAAATGTTCTGCAAACAGTTGCGCATGCCGTCGGAGTGGATGTGTGGGAGCGTCACCTCGTCCAGGTTCGGAGGAAAGTCGCGAAACTGCTCGGCGGCGGCAGCCGAAACGCGCACGCTTGCTTTCTCGCTTGGCTGCCGCGCAGCGTGCTTCGCGTTCGCGGAGACCCGGAAGCACAGGTTGTTTCTCGAGTACAAAAGGCCCTGGGAAATCGCTTTGATGTTGTTCGCCTCGAGCGTGTAGCGGATTTGGTGCGACTCTTCCGAGCTCTGAGCCATTTGCGTAGCGTCTATCAGCTGCAGAGGCGTTACGAAGCAGGTGACGCCTTTGTGCAGCAAGCGGTAGACAACCGCGTGGCGGTGGATGAAGTTGTGCGAAGCGCGCAAGAACGACTCTGTGTACAACTGGTGCTTGATAGAGTTTCGCAGTATCTCCATGTGCTCTTCGTTGAGGCTGCTCGCGACTTGGTCGCCTACGTCTGCGAAGCTGGTGGCGTACTTCTTCGAGAACTGCTCATTGTAATGCTGCATCACGTAGCTCGTGAAGTAGCGATTGTACACGCGCACTCCGTTGCGCAGCCGTACATAGTAGTCGTGATGTTCGTGCGTGAGCGGCACGATGTAAATGAGCGTTCCGTCCGTGTAGATCGATTCGCCGCGGTTCAGCAAGACACCGTTAATGATCTGCGCGGCTTCGCGGGTCACGAGACGGTACGTGCGCTGTTCCGCTTGGCAGTTGTTGGTGTACCAATTGACGAACTGCGTGCCGTGCTCGCGGACGAAGTCGTTGAGCAGCACCAGCTTGTCGTGGCAGGAAACGCTGTGTTTCACGAGCCGGCTGTAAGCCATGTAGAACATGTCTCGTGTTTCGGAGTGCAGTTTTGCGCTCGAGAGCGAGCACTTGCAGTGGTTCATGTGCACGAAGGAGGCCATTAGCTGCCTCAAGTAGGCCATGTACTCCGT